AAACAAACCTAGTAACTATGATACTAATTTTTATTCATTTATGATTATTTCAAAAAAATTGCAATAATCATAATGAAAATATTCCATTAGCATTTTTTGTTTGCATTTAAAATTATGTCTGGAAATCATCTGGGGACCCTCACTTGATGTTTTGTGACCCAAAGTGGTCCCAACACCAACTATGGGAACCACTACAYRAGATGAAACATTAACAATACTCCGCACACAGAAAATGTTSTCTCATGTCGACTCTGAGGAATGTTCCATGGGTCAGCTGGGYTTTTAGTGCTTTAGARTTAGCTTTTGCTAAATTTTTWATTGTGTTAGCGCTTTAGAATTCGGGGACATAAATATTAAAGTTAGTGCTTTAGGGTTAGAGCAACTAATTTTTAGATTAGTGCTGCCCACCACTGCATACTACAAATTCAACAAGTTTCACATGCAAAATAACTTATTWGTACTATAGATGTAAAATAAAACAACAACAAAAAACAACCATGTAAAGCAGATTTAGGTCCAAGAATATTTCATATTTCAAATTACATTTTCTTTTAATCATTGCTGTATATATGACTATAATTTGGTAAAATAAAATCTTTAAGTTTCCCAAAGGTACGCTAGAATTAAAGTAAAATTTAGGGATGCAACAATATGAAAATTTCAGCCGATATCAATATACCATATATACACCGTAATTATTGCTGTTATGGCCAATTACCGATATCAACCGATATTACACAAATACACATTATTATTACAGTATACATACACGCACAAACACAGTATACATACACACACAAACACACTTGGGTCTTTTCTTGATACCGTAAATAAACGACCAGACCTCTGACATGGCTCCCTACTTACTCCTGGCTACGCATCATCAAAATCATTATCATGATCAAATGCCGCTCAACCAACCATCTCCCCTCCCAAAACAACAACACAAAGCTAAAAAAGTGGGAAATTAATATCGGACATTAATATCGGCCCAGTTTTACATATCGGACCGATACGATACTCTACAAAAAATGACCAGTATCGTCTAATACCGATACGAATGCTGATATATCGTGCATCCCTAGTAAAATTAATTTAAAATGTGCCGATTTCTGCTTTTAATTTTTTTACAAAAATATTTAAAATCCTTAAATATTTTTACACACCTTAAATCTTTTAAAGAATTATTTACCAGCAATAAAAAGTTTGGATGAAACCTGGAC